AACAGGATTTATTTTAGTTTATGATATGGTGTAAGTATTCTCGTATACAATATACTACTTATATAAGTATATTGTGCACGAGATACATACGAAATATGATCCTTACATGTGTAATATTAATAGTACTATATAAAACTATATTATATCCAAGCTGCGATGTGTTGGCCATCGTCACACGTCAAGTTCATCGTCATTGTGGAACACTGATAGAATATAGGTACATGCGGTATTAACCATGTGCGGGGATCGAATTGCACACAGCAGGCGGTTGGCGTCGTACTGCTGCGACTGCCATCGGTGTATATATGGTTTAGGTGCGTTTGCTGCGTTTGTATTATAAAATATAGTGCGTCGTAGAAATACTAGAAATAGCGAAATAGCTTAAAACGCAACCGATTAAGCGGGCTTGTCTTCATATTAAATTGTACCTAAATACATATACCTACATATATATACATTATACGTAATTTGGTGGTGGATATCAGATACATTTTAAGTAATTACGTTATAAACGCAACACGATATTGAGTATCCTATTAGGTATATAATTATAAAAAGTATAGGTATTTAATTAAATTTTTTTCATGTAATTTTTGTCATTGATTAAATATACAATTTATAATGCATACTTATCAATGTTACTTCTACTAAAAATTTTATGTAGGTATCTATTCATAATATTCACAAATTTGACAATGGAAAATATTGTAATTTTATTACTTTTCATATTACATCATATGTCATAATTTATGTTTGATGTTATTTTATTGATGTATATAATATAATCTACTTATAAATGATAATTCGAAAGCATTGTAAAATTATTTATTTATTAATATTACTTTTAATCAATTTTTTTATTTATTAATAATCGATAATATAACAATATTAAAATATATGCGGAAGTTAAAGTTAAAGTTATAAAATAAAAATCTTGTCAAATATTTGGGTACAACATTAAGGGGACACACCCGCATTTGTTATCTCCGTCTAATAGTGCGGAATATAGAAAATGTATGTCTCTAGTTCGCATTTAACTTTTCTAGTTTAAAAATTAAAGAGAATTAACCTATTGACTATTAAGAAACTTTATGGTATAAGAACATTATCTTCGTTTAAAAGATATGTAGTTTACGTTTTGCTTTATTAAAATATTATATTATTTTAATTTTTTACGGTTTACCTATACACACATACTATAAAAATAACTTGTTATAAATAATTTATAAATATTTATTGTGTATCGACTATTTAAAAATTTTAAATACTTATACTTAAATGAAATTTATTTAATTTTACATACCAAAAAATAGGTACCTATCTGTATAATAGATTCAAAGATTGAATACAATATTTTGATTAAAGTCAATGATATCATATTTGATGAGAGACCCTCTATATCATTTGACTAATGTCTAATAATAAAATGAGGCCAATTTAAATCAATTTGTAAGCATAAGCTATATTATTTAAATATAAATTAATTTAAGTTTCTTACAAATATGACCATATTTATAATTACTTACTTATTAAATAGTAATTTTATAGTGATTAAATAATTTTCTAAATACATATTTCTAGATGATCGTACTCAATTAATTTAAGTATACTTTGAAAATTTGTAATCTATAAGACTTAATTCTGTAAATTTATAATAATAAACATATAGTTTTATTTTATAATTTGTAGTGGTGAAAATTACTGCCAAATCTGATATTCACTAGTATCATTTTTTTCAAAACACTTTTAATTCTATGTTACCTTAATATGATTTATTTTGCTATCGATTATTATTATTATCAGAATGTATCTATAAAATATAATTTATTTTTTGTAGTGCGTCTTTTGTCTCTTTATTATAGTTAATTGAATTTCATTGAAATAAAGAATATATAGGTACCAAATCAATTTTCAACGTGTATTTACTGTGCCTTTTCATAAATTTTATGTACTATTTTTCATACACATGAATCGTTAAATATTGACAATAGAATGTGGTTTACTGGTGTTCGTAACTTAGGGAGATTAAATGTAATTATACAAACTAGAGTGACTAGAACAGCGGTCGCCAATCTTTTGGACCTCGCTAACCACTAAATCCATACTTTAAATTCTATGGGCCACTTATATTTTTATTGTGTTTGTATACTTAATAATTTATATCATAAGTCACATGTCCGTATCCAGAGATAATAATGATTTTTACATAGGTAAATACCGTTTTACTGATAAGTCTTATACCAAATAAAAATAAAAATAAAATTATAAAATAATAAGAAATGATTTTCTTATTTTTAACAAAAGTTTTAAAACACTATAATTATTACCAATTAATTTAAACTTTGTGTATAAATGGTTAAGTAGGTATTAAAAATGTTAATATTAATGTGAAATTTGTATATACTATATTTTTATAACATGTGTTAATGATGATTGCATTATTACGTGTTTATTTAAATTAATTAAATAATGATATTAACATTTATTATTTGCCGTTTACAGAATCATAATACAACACTTTGTTACAAAATAATTATACGACACACGCTCGCTGGAAGGTTAATAAAATAATATTACAAATAGTATTCAAAATTTTCTGTGGATCACCTAAATTTTCTCGCGGACAACCGGCTGGCAACCGCTGGACCAGACTACCATAGAGTACCTATTATTTGAGTTGTAAGCCTTTTTATAAAAACCAAATCACTGAATCTTATACCCGATATTTATATATGAATATGATCAATTTTGATATTAGTTTTGAACTTTGGCTTTGACGCGTCACACGTTTTTTTATGAACTCTGTAACGCGCTACTTGATGAATTTCAGTAAAATTCTAAACCAGTGGTAAATCTTGATGATGCGACCACGGTACGTTCAGTTGATGGTACCATGGTACATTTGGTAAGCACTAAGCAAACTTCATTACCTCTGTAGTTTAGTCCTACAAAACACGTCATTTATTTTTCGAGGCCTATACGTGTCTATGCATCAAATGGTGTGCCAAGCCGAATTGTATTTGAACGTGTAATAGTGGGGGAAAGGCTAAAGCTCCAAAAAATATTTTATACCATAAATTTACTAAATACGACGATAATGTAAATTTTTTTTTATTGATAGCAATATATTATGTTGATTATTATTCAATCTTATCTGTCATTTGAATTAAGCTGTACACTAAATACCATAAGTATAAAATTTATAAAAATAGTAATAAAATATTTTAATAATCTTAGTTTTCTAGATTTTTTAGCAAATTTATCAAGTATTTTTTCATTTAAATCGTTTAGAATGTCTTTTATTAGTATATGAAGTTCCCATATCCTGTGTTTCTTTTAATTAACAATTTTTTTGCCACCATTATTACTTACTTATACAGTTATACTTTTAATAATTTAGAATGAATATGTCTAGTATTAATGAATAAATAGGTTAGAAATAATGGCATTTAATTTTAAGAAACTATCTTAATTAATATAATAATATTAATACTTATTATTTACAAATGATATACATAGGTATCTATTCAAGTTTGTAATATCCAAGTGAAATGTTGGTTAAACAATCGTGAAACGTGCCATAATATTATGACGAATTTTAGTTTATTACAACTTTGTATACTATTAGTCTATAAACATATTATAAAGTATTGGCCATTGGGTACTTGTTTGTTAACACGTCGCCACCGAGTCGCATAAAACTTTTCACCACGCCACCATAGTCTTTAATCTAAATATTCGTTAACTATGATCAATATTTTACTTTATCTCGATATCTTATATACGTATAGTGTGTAGTATGTGATATATTTGTGGAAAATCGGTAAATATTTGAGTACTTCTTATGATATTATAAATTGTATTTTATTTTATTACAGCTATATTATAACTATGTTAGTATTTTGTCGGCTTGTCACTGTATTATACTCGTATGTATAATTTAACGTGTATACCCATCTTACAAATAATACGGACTTATTTTAAAATAAAAACTGAACACTAAAATATTGTTAAAATTAAATTTTAAGTTATTCTCCACAATGTTTAATAACAGTATGCAATTTTTACGACAAAAACATACTGTTAAACCTTGTAAGTTGTAACATTCAGGTAGGTATCTCTTGGAATAGGAAATTGCTTTATTTTGTTGAAGTTATTTACGTGTAATTATGAAATATTAATATGAACAATGTTAGATACTATTTATGGCACACGATGTTATAATACTATTTACTTTTATTTGTTTTATTTGCAAATATTGTTGTAAATGGGTTATAAATATAAATATAAATATATATATATATATTATACAATTATCGAACACAACGACAAATTATGATCACCTATTGGCGGAGTCGTGGAATGATTCATTTTCGTATGGTGTTGTGGCGGGGTTGTAATGTTGATAACAATACAAGTATCTATGGTTGTAATATTATGAATGATAATCTATAGGGTTTTTAAAGCTGTTATATTTAGGTTAATAATTTAATATAACGTTAGCACTTATTCAGTGATAAATTAATTAATAAAACGATTTATATGTGATCCGGTGTCCCGGTGACGGCAACACCTCTTGTCACGAACAATTTATATACTTATTGATGTGGGAGGGGAGGTTAAACTCAACACAATACATAGTTATACACGAAAATGTATTCTTAAAAGTGAAAAAATTACGGTGGAGGCAAACGCTCCCTTGTCTCGTTCAGCTATCACAAAAATGTACTTGGCGCACACGTGTAAAGGTTTAGCGAACACGTGGCCGGCGATTTCCGTGGAAAATCGATAGGGTTTTCGCGACGACGGTGGTAGAATTTCCATTTCGCGAACGGTTATAACACCGCAGGGAGCAGCACCATTGCGCGCGCATCCAATACACGGTACAATTAATATATACGTATACACAAAACCAGGGGTCCAAAGTGCGTGAAACGGCCGCCGCCACCACAGTTTCTATTTCCAGCATTGGTTATGTTATATTATAGTGCGCGCATGTGAATCATTTCACATTCGAACGTGTGTCGGCGTGTCGTCACGATCGGCCTACGATCGCGTCTGCCCATATATTTTTATTTTTCTAAGTCGATTTTAGTTTTTTTTTTTTAATTGTGTCAATAATAGTAAAAGTATAATCAATATTACTGTTCGATTAATTTCAGCCCGTGAGTATTGTTAATTTTTTTTCGTCGCATTTTTTTTTTTTTTCCACTCATATAAACTATAAACTAATACGTTGTTTTTAATATACGTTATCTCTCTCTCATATTTATGATAAAATTGCGTATTAAATACAAATAATTACATTGAAAAGTATAAAAAAATATTTTACTGGGATTAAGAAAGAAAACTACGTAGAAACCAAAAAACTGCATTCAGGTATAGACTTATTTATATGATTTTTATTTTTTTATTAACGTATATTAAACCGCCGTTAAACGCAGTAAAATGTTTCTACTGCTGTCTGTACCATAGTAATCCGAATGTTTCGGCAAATAGAGGGGTGTTTGTGTGTGTAAAACGTCCACGTGGGTCCCCATTCAACGCGTCAATACTCAGTTCCCTATTATATTTTAATAAAATGCATAATGCTTACTCCGATTTATTTTCTTAATTTGGTGGGAAAATAATAATTTTAATGTGAATACGTCGTTTGATTAATTTTAATTTAAACTATGAAAGTATGTATCTACTATTGTCGGCTAATAAATATTTTTGTGTTGGTTTAGGTTTATAATATATTATGTTTAAATGATTAAAAACTCAATACTTGCATTATGCTTATTTGAATTTTGTGTTTTTAAAAAGGTAAACATTTTTTCATATTTATTATTTTAAAATAAATACTCGGCGACCGGAAAATTTTAATTTAAAATTTAAATATCACTTTAAATTTATTAATCATTATCCTTTATAAATACTTACGTGCCGCTAATATAAATTATTTTAATACTTACACTAATCATACACTGGATGTAAACAAAATTTTTGTTGAATTTAAATGCATTTTTGGTTTCTAATGATACCTATTGATGTATTTACAACACAATCGACTCATCGACATAGTAAAGTTCTTTACATTAATGTTTCAAAAAAAAAAAAAAAAAAAATAAAAAAATATCTGCCCATGTTTGTGTGATTTTTTCCATTCATCAGCCTTTTTTACACCTGCCATACATACCTAAATGATGTGTGTGCGTGTGTTGAGAATATACAAAAATCGTTTTTTTTACGGATGATATTTCCTTACCTATTTTATATATTTAATGTGAATTTGGATGCTTACATGTTAAATATTTCATCGTATTTTTCATTTAAAGGTAAACGGATATTTGAACATTTTATAACGTCAACTTTTTTTTTTTTTATTTAAGAAATAAAACCTCGTAATGGTGGCCATTGGTCTGACAGTAACTTTAATTATTTCATTATTACATAATAGATACATATTATAATACATTATTTAAGCTAAAGTATAGTTTAATTTTTTGTTATTTGTGATTTTAAATAAAACATGTATTATTTTATGAAATAGATGTAAAGACTTATGTATAATATTATTGTACTTACTATATTTTATACTAGTTATACAATTTATATGGTATTAATATATTACTATTATAAATATTTGGTATATTATTTCAAATACTTTTTTTAATCAGTTAACGGTTTAATTGTGTAATTTAAAAAATAAATATAAATTCTCGAAACTTATTAAACTTAATTACGTATTAATTTTAAAATAATTTTTTGTTTAATGTGTATTGTTATAAATTACAGCAAATAGTCACGTGTTAAATATTGTTTAGCCTGCGTCATCGATGTAATTTGTTAGGTATTGTTCTACTTTTTAAATAATCAATATATTATAATGAATTCAAGTTATTATTTTATTTTTATTTCATTTATTAGAAATTAATTAATATGTACACGTGTTTGAAGCAGCAGTTATGCATTTTACTATTTGAGTGTGGTTTATAGGCGTATACGAGAAATATGTTTGCTCTTACAATATAAACCACGCGGTGACATTTCAACTGTTGTGTAGGTACTCGACACTCGTAACAACTAGCGACTATCTTTTCATGTGCAAAAAACTGGTTTTGTTTTTTCTATTTTTTTTTTTTTTTTTTTGTTGGCACCAAGCGCATAATGTATTGTACTATAATGCACGTATGCACATATAATTTTATACAACGACAATGTTGTGCACCAGTAACCGAGTCGGTCAAATCCATGGGGTTTAGTACCGTGTATTCGTGTGTTAGGACTAAATAAAATAATGATGACGACGGTAGTGAGCTCAAAACAAACCCTTCACTGGTAGTTTTTCAACCCTCAGCACAACGACCCTATAATCGGAGATGATGTAATTTTTCTTTAACACTCGGCTGCGGTAAAATAATATTAAAAATTAAACAATATCGATTTAAATCATGTAATATCGTTTGGTGTTTGTCTAACTTTTAATTTTATGGTTTATTTTCATAATTACTTTTGTCTAATTGCAATAGGTTTTGTTAGATATTGTATCTTTGTCATTGTAAATTAAGCGTGAGATTTATTGTTTAGTGAATTAATTTAATTTGTATTTTGTAGTACTATTTTGTATTTTATATTAACCTACACTCCTTGTATGTATAGGAATATGAAATCATAATAAACACGTATCATATTATATAAGTACAAAATGTGGTTATTATCGGCATCGAGTTCGAAGCTAAACATCGTACGATTATAAATTCTAATAATAATATTATTTTATTTCCGGAAGTAGCGGGAAAATATTAAAATATAAACGTTATCAAAGAAAAAAAGCTATAATTAAAAATTAATCAAATTATGGAATAAATACAATAAATAAATATTGAATAGTATTACATTTTTCTTATCGACATATGTAATGTAATCGTCGATACCGATGCGAGTGCAGTTTTAACTTAATTTTAATTACCAAAGGTAATAATGGTATTTCATAAGTCATAACTGTCTAAAACTACTGTCTGTATATTAAATAATAAATTGTGCCTTAAACCACTTTTAATGAAGTGTACAACAATTATTACTTATTGGATACTTTTTTGGTAGGTGATAGGTTTCGCTGTTTTGCACCGACAATGATTACCTAAGTAAATACATAATTAGGTATATAATATTACATATTTTCATATTAATTATTTTTATTACAGTGTATTACAAATATAAAATCAAAATAAATTCGAAATTTGACTAGGATTTCCATATTACACATATTATATAAGTCCAGAAGTTAAGATTTCTTATCACTTAGCTTAAATATTGTTACAATTTTACTACGAGCTCGTATTTAATATATTCTTTAATAATGAAAATTTAAAATAGCCTAATATTTTTTAGAATATTTAAAAGAAAAAATTATATTCTATATATTTATAAAAACTTACTTAACATAATATTTAATTATTTATAATTTGAATTAAACATTTAAAAAAACTACACTATTTGTATTCTAATTTTAATTTTTCTTTAATTGAAATTTTAAGCATCAAAAATATATAATGATTTATAATTATAATGTGTATAAGTTCAAAATATTAAACTTAAATATCATCTTTTAATAATTATGTATTATATATTTTAGTATTTCATTGGGTTTATTAATTTTTTTCTGGGTTTCAACGAAAGTCATTATTTTTTATTATTAAAAGTTTGATAAAAGTTTTGGTATAAACTTATCTAAATCACATCCGTTATTTGTTTGTAAAATACGTAGTAGGTATTTAAACTTATTAAAGGTATTATTTGTGTCTTAAATTTGCATTATACTAATTTCATGACGGTCTCTTATAAGACACAAAATTATAAAAAATAATAATATGTTGTTTATTTTGGTTTTAATAATAATTTATTTTTTAGAAGCTACTACCTACTTATTTAACCTCTATGGCTTTGTACAAATACGCGTTTCCACTTCACACCAAAATAAAATTTAAATTAACTGTTTGGTTATACATAATTTTTTCGGTCTATGTCTAATACAGTTATGCACTTTAAATTATTTTTTAAATTTTATATTTATTAATGATTTACATAATATTTTCCTCCATTATATGATCAACAATCAACAATTCATAATACTTCACTCTTTTAATGATAATTATAATTTATGCCAATGGAAGTAACGTATTTCAAGATGTTAATAATTAGTATTTTTAAATTAGTTTTGCTAAATTACTTATTTAAAAATGTTTTTATGAATTTATTCTTTTGTTTATATAATATTTATTTTATAGTGTTCTAATGCATAAATAAATCTTTACCATTATAAATTATGTTTTATTATAATTGAGCTTTGATTTATTTCTTTAGGTAAAATTAAAAAATATAGTTGAAAAAAAATTAGTTAAATACATTTAATACATTTTATATATACAATGACATTTTCGAAACATGTATAGATTAATTTTATACTATTTCCCAATTATAGTTTTACCATATTACTAATAGTAAAATAAATTACCGTAATCATTAATAGCAATATATTTATATGATAATAGACTGTTTGCTATGATTTATTATTGAATTCAAATTTAACACATCCATTACAATGACTTACTCAAAGACGAGATATTCGACGCCTTATTAACAGTAGTCAATATAGCGGTTACCTATTTCTCCCTTTTTATTTATCTATCAGCACGATGATGTTCACCTATATACAAGATAATATAATAGATATTATAATTTAAAAAAGTTATTAGATTAAAACTAATATTATAATTTAGTTACAATATTGCTTATATTATAAGTTATAACTTAATGTATAAGCTAGGATGTATGATAAAACATATTTTATTGGTAGAAAAAAATGCTTTTTAAGTAGGTAACTGAATATTGTCAAATGTATGAAAAACTACTATTGTTTTTAGTATTGTGCTAAATCTGACAACAAGTATGTCTACGTTAAGAGTTTTGAATATCGAATGTACTATATAACCATAAATGTAAGTAGTGTTTTCAAAGATTGTTTTCATTGTTGTTTTGTTGTTATACTATTTAGTATTCGAGATTTACTGTGACGTGCAAAATTTATGACAGAAGTGGAAACTATTTTTTTTTAAAGTTCAAGTGAACATCATAAGTAGATACTAGAGAAGATACTGACATAATTTACACTTCGAAAACG